CCCCCCATTTTGACCTTATCCTGTTCCTGAATGTCCGGTGATCCCCAGAAACAAAATTAGGGGGAGGACTCAATGAAGAGGAGGGGAGGGGAGATCATGTTCTGCAAGGTCTACCCTGCAAACAGTCTCATTGGATACAAGCCAATGTTTGTAATGAACTCTGATCCAGACTGCATTATTCATTGACAGAACTCCTCTGCTCCCACCCTTGCTCCAACGACAGCCCATTGATCTCCTGGGGGAAAGATGGTCATGAGGAATGGCTTGAGGGAGGTCTGTAGTGAGAAGGGGGAATTGGTGCAAAATGTCAGCTGAGACCAGGACCCATCCGTAGGATTGTTTCACAGAACAGCAGTTCAGTGTATGTTCAGCATGAAGCTGCAGCAAATCCCAGTCCTCAAGAAACTGTGTGTATGTGTGTTTCAAGCATTTCTGTCACATTCAAACTTCATATTTTTGTGTGTACACCTAAAGCCATAGGTGCAAAACGTTAGCCTTAAAATGTACGGTATGAAAATGATTTGACTTACTATTATTTCATTAAGTTCTCCAGAGTGTGTATCAGTGTTTCTTCTCTTCTGGTCCCTCTGAGCAGCTACAGCTAGAGAGAAGGGAGGGCATCAGTGACTCTTCCACACCAAGACAGTTAATCCTTCATTTTGCATAATCATGATTGCTTTATAATCCAAAACCAAAGAAAAAAATGAGCAGTTGCTTTAGATGCAAAGGGTAATTAAAGTCCCCCCAGACAAGGCGTAATAGGACCTGACCGATAAAAGTCCAGGAATGCAGTGCAAATTCATACTAATGACTAGGAAAATACTAAATTAGCCCAAGAAACAGAAGCTGCTTGAGGTAAGAAGAAAAAACTACAAGACCGTAGTCCTGAATTGTCTCACTAGCACCTAGTCCACACTACATGAGATGGCAATTTAATTGCATTTTAAGGAAAATAAAATTACCACAAATCATGTCTGGAAAAAAAGACAGAAAAGCAACATGGAAAACAGTGGAACACAACAAGCTGGCAATGATATCATCGAGATTCTCCATAAAACCTGACTTAAATTATATCCATTCCAAGCTAAACAGCCACTGTCTGTAGGAGCAGTCAAGGACTGTTTTGTTGGCTTTGCAGTGAGGTCTCTGTGTTCCACAAAACCACACAGAAGTTCTGACCCTTCAAAAGCGCTGTAAAAGAGCATCCATGCTTGACATCAAGCAAGACACATGATGTGAGCAACGCCCAGCTGAATGAACCTTTTAGAATTTATATTCTTTTATAAACTCGTTTTTTTTTTCCAGGTATACAGGAACACCTTCTCCCCTTTCACCCAGCCCTTCTCCTGTGAGTTCTGTGGGGTCCCAAGGAAGCACTGGAACACCTTCTCCGTCATCCATAATCAGCATCCCCCAGCGTATACATCAAATGGCAGCTAATCACGTTAGCATCACCAACAGCATCTTGCACAGTTACGACTACTGGGAGATGGCTGACAATCTTGCCAAGGAAAACCAAGGTATGCGATGACGGTGACTGACTAAAACCATAACATATCCATTTTGATTCACTCTTATGTCCAGCCACTTTGTACCTATGTGTCTACCAATAAAGCAGGGTTGGAGTACCACCTGATTCTGCCACATGGCTGGCCCTTAATCCTCATGCCCCTCAGAGCATTTACTTCCCAGCAGTATAGCCCAAACATACTTGTGTTTACAAACAGAAGCTTTCCAGTCTGACTGTTATTTCTAGGGAGCTGTGATCACCTATACAAATTACCAGGGCTATTTTGGGGCATGAATGCACAGGAACGGAGTTCCGGCTGGCTCCCAAGTTGGCCACGCCCATCAGGAACTCATTAGCATAATAGGCCACACCCAACAGCAGAAACACATTAGAATTGGCTACATTAGGGGGTGTGGCCTAACATGCAAAGGAGTTCCTGCTACAAAAAAGCCCTGGGTTTGGACAACAAACAAGGTAAACAGAATAAGAAACAAAAGGTGGGCGTGGCTGGATTACTACACTTCTGGTAACATGGGCGTGTGGCCTAAAATGCTAATGAGCTGTGCTGTCAGGGGTGTGGCCTAATATGCTAATGAGTTTCTGCTGTTGGGTGTGGCCTATTATGCTAATGAGTTCCTGCTGGGCTTTTTCTACAAAAAAAAGCCCTGCAAATTACCTTAAAATATCTCCTGTATTTGCAACTTGGTATGTATTTGCCACTTGCCAATCCTGCTATGACAAGCTAGGCTGTATGGGAAAATCCATAGTTTTCCAGCAGCTACATTCTGTAAATGCATGTATTGACACAAGAAGGCATCTGTGTGTGGCCCCAATCTGGCTGAATTAGTTATGACTTGTTGAAAGCAAGGAACCAGTTAGTCATGATTAACTCAATATTCATCAAAACCCACTTGAAAGCAGGCTTAGGCATGTTTAGCTGGACCAGGGGGCCAAACTATCCAAGTGCTGCCCTGAGGGCTAGTGTGGGAACTGACTAGAATGTTGGACTGGGACCAGAGAGATCTGTGTTCAAATCCCCACTCAGCCATGAGACTCACAGCTGTGTCTCAATGCAAGTTGCCAGACACACAAAAGGATTCCTCATTTTAAATAAAATTGTATTGTGGCAAAAAGTTTGTATTAAAGGTAAGACAATCCTCCTTTAACCTAAACTTGGACTACTTCCACAATGTATTGTAAGCATTATTATTTTTTTAATTCCCTAGATTTCTTTAACGACTTGGATGCATTGATGGGACCTGTTACCTTGCACAGCAGTATGGAGCACCTGGTCCAATACACACAACAAGGACTTCACTGGATAAGGAGTAGGGCTCAGTTGTAGTGAATGTGTGCTGCTCATCTGGACACTAGATTCTCCCACAGACAATTCAATTATTCTAGACACTGTGCTACAGAAATATTCAACAACAGCATTGCTTCAGACAAATGTGAATACTTCTTCTGATGCTAGACAATATTTTTCCAGAGTACATAAATAGATGTGTATGTATATAATGTTTGTCTCTTCTGATACTTTGTTTTCTCCAATTCAGCTCTTCTATAAAGAAGAGGACATGGGTGTTTTAACACACACTCACATGCACACTCCACATACACACTCTCCTCTTCTTCAGTACTGAGACAACTAAACCAGAACTTCATAGGATGATTTAACCACGTACAACAAAACAGACTCTCTCAATTCTGAAAAGTATGTTCCACTAGGCTTTAAAACCCATTCATAAATAGCTGCGTAACTGTAACTTTGAAAGAGATGAAGTTTCTTGAATTAGGCCAATTGTAGGTTCTCTATATCAAAGCATATTCATGTTGTGTTATACATTGGAAAAGCGACGGGCAGTGTCTGTCCGTTCTGTGACCCAGAAAACAGAAGGGTTTGTGGTCCAGAAGTGAATTTTCCATGCACTCTGTCACTCACTCACTCACACACACAGGCCTCATGACTGGTCAGCCCCTTTTATAATAATGGTGGTAGAATGTAGCAGTCACAATAAAGGCTTCCCTATAATGGAGCACATGTACCCAGGCACAGCATTATATACAGATCTGTGTGTTTATATACTGTGTACATGCTGTATACAAAATCAGAAAGAAAGATGCAGCATGGCGGTATGGAACATGTCTAAAAGTGTTTCCCTTATGAGTGAACCCATGGGTAGTTTTTTCCATACCTTAATGTGTTAGGGCCATCAGACTCCAGGCAGAATTGTGTCTGGAGCCAGGTGTAGCCTGCATGTTTCCATCCTTTTACTAGAGCAAAAGGGTGAGTCACAGAGGATGGAACAGTATCCAGACAGAAAGATTGTTGTTTTGTGAACATAAAAAGATTACATGATGTCATATGTATCTTTGAAAATCATTTTGATTTCTGAAAAGCCTTTCTGCCATGTTCAATATACTATTCTAAGCAAACAATCATTTAAAATGGTAGAGTAGCAATACAATATAAAGAAGGATTGGAGAAATTGTTCACTTTTATCAAAAACAAAATATTATAACATGTTGTAGCTGACTTAGCCAGGAAAATAATTCTGCAATATAGGTGTGTCTCTATCAAGGGGCACATATATATTTTAATGTACATTTTAGTAAAGTAGCTGGTCTGCAATTTATTTATATTCCGCCATTACATTCGATTCTCTTTATCCAGAAAGTTGAATTTGCTACTTTGTGTACTAACGCAGCTTCCCATCATATTCCTCTTCTTTTAAGTATACTTTCATGATTTGATATTTATATGTTGTCTTCAGCACCTGCTGACAAGTTATTAGACCAAGAAAATTACTCTAGCAATAATTAGTTTTAATGGCAATCAGAATAAGTCACATCAACTGACACACACTTGATAATTTTTTAAGTAAAAAGGAACAGTGTTGTGGCATCTTAAAGGCTAATTGTTTTCTTGTAGCATATGTTTTCATGAGCTTGAACCGTTTATTTCAGATACATGAAATGATCACCTAAAGGACAGATGAAAGAAGAGAAAGAAAGTAAGAGAGAAAATGTTACAAATAATCAAAAATGTATGAGAGAGAACACTAGTTATATCCATTCTGTGCAGAGTACACAAATGGATACAGAATCTTTTTGGGGGTGTTTGACCAATATAATTCAACATTTTAATTCTGAAATATTGTTCAGTGTTTGGTTGTATTTTAAATCATATAACTTTAGTCACTTCATTCACAAAGGATTCCTCAGTGTTGACTTTAGAAAAAGGAACTTAAAATCAAGGCCATACTAAAGTATGTTGCATGACCAAACCTTTATTTATTTTTCTTTTGCTAATAGGCACTTAGCTGGAACTTCATTTATTGATTTTGGTACTTCACTTTCCAGTGCCAAAGAGACAGGTCATTTTTTCAACTGAATGCTGGCTTGTCTTTTTGGCAGTGCACACTCCACAAAACAATTAAGTTTAGAAACGCATGAGATTCTTCCCAAGAAGTGTATATCATTTATTTCGATTTTTTAGCCCAAGTTGTCAGAATTTTTCCTATTTATATTATTCATCAATTTCAAACAATTTCAAACATACCTTTCCACCAAACGTAGGGTCCCCAAGGCTTATGAAGTTTACAAGAGAGACCCATAGGGACCCTCTGGGTGCCACATATTATCTAGCATTACAGCCTATTAAAAGATCTGAAAGAATTTAAACTGGTTTAATCCTGGCTTTGAATAATGAAAAAGATAATTGCCATTTGGTTACTATGCGGTCAGCCTTCTTGTAGTCTAAAATGAACAGCAGCTATATTAAAATGAGGGACAGGTTAATGACAGGGGCTAAACAGAGTACATCCCTCTAAGCCCATTGGCTTCAATGGACTTCAAAGGGTGAAAGTCAGTTTAGGACTGCACTGTGAGTGAAAATCCAGTGAGTCACACTGATGGGACAAGTGAAAAAAGGTCAAGCAGATGCTTATGAAGTGTATTTGAATGTTAATTACTTGCTCTCTGCTGATGAAAATCCAGCATCATTTACTGGGGTGGTTTTGATTAGAATTATCTTGGTATTTGAGCTATTTTTAATGCTATTCTTCTGACAAATAACCTTAGTGGGTTGTTGTCTAAGCTTTCTCTTACTGTTTTTAAAACCATTTGGCCCTAATATATTCCTATATATTCTGAACAATATAAAGGCTCTTTTGCTTATAATCAAACGACTATGTGTACCCCTGTCATTATTAGATCAGAACAGCTGCCCTGTGGGATCAAGGCCTTCGAGTAAGAACATAAATATGTATACAGTGTAGATAATTCATAACACTGACCAGTCTGAAAAATAGCATACCTCTGTAACTCACAGAGAACAGTATTTCATTGTTCACATCATTTTTGAGTAGAGTAATTGTAGCAAAACTTAAGTTAGCGAATCACTAATTTCTTTTATTGATGTAGCCCCATTAATGCCAGTGGACTTCATTATTTGGGCTATCAACAATCGGTGCCAGTGTAAATTATCAGAAAATTCTTTCTTAATGTGTAAAGCAAATTAGCTGTTAATATCTCACATTTCGAACTGTGAATTAGCATTTGGGTGTAAATGTCCACACATTATTCAGGCTGTGATATAGCTTTCCATTATGAAAAGGGTAGGACTTTAAAAAAAAATGAAAACTAGCATTCCAACTTGACTAATAATGTCCTTGATACATTTACTTACAAGACTGCCATGGTCACTAGCCTTAACGTATGCATAGTATGTTGGCTTTTTAAAGCCACATTTTATCAGAATGAAGCCAGAATTTGCAAACTGACTTGAATTAGGCTTCTCTTGCTCTCCACAACAGTAGATGTGAACAGGGGTCTTGTTGTAGAAAAAGAGCTGCTGGAGCTCATTAGCATAACTCATTAGCATAACTTATTTGCATATGCCACGCCCCCTGACATCACCGGAAGTGACAGAAGGCCACACCCCCTGACATCACCGGAAGTGTGTCAGAAGGCCCGGCTACTTACCCTCCTGCTTCATCCTCATTCCCAAACGGAATGAGGATCGAAGCAGGGGGCGGGGTAAAGAAGGGGGCGGGGCTTCACCACGTGACCGCCCCGCCCCCTAGAGGTTCTCTTCCGGAGCTCCGTACCTGAGAGCTCCCCCCCGACTAAAGCCCTGGATGTGAACATGGTAGCAGATATGAACACTCTCTTGCTCTCCACAACAGTAGATGTGAATATGGTAGCAGATATGAACATGGTAGCAAGCAATTTTGCAGCCATTTTACAAGATGATTAAAAAAGAGCCAAGGCATTGTCTTTTAACTCTCCTAAATTCTGAAGGTCACTGATCCATGTTATAATCAAAGTCAATCAAAGATATATTTTATTCTTCTTAACTTAAAGAAGAATTCTCTCCATAACTCTTGCAGAAATTTCTGTTTTGAACAGTGACAGACCCCCAAACAAAAACCTACAGGGAGTTTATAAACCATCATTTATTCTGTGATCAGTCACAATGATGCACATACAGTCATATTGGTAAGCTTCTCACCTGTGGCATGTGATAAGGAAATTTTTACAGTAGATCTGCTAACAAGTGGAAATGATGGATGCAACAGACCATTGTTTTTCCACATTGTTATAAGTGCTCCATGCACACCCTATGTGGCCTGCAAAAATTAATGTGGTCTCTCAATTTTATCATCATATTTTCTTATTTTGTGGCATTATAGAATGCTGACTTAGTTGAATACATACATACATATTACCCCCCGCAGGCTTTTCAAGCATTTGCCATGTACTCATATGCGTCAGCTGTAAGTAAAGAGGTTGAGCTGACCCATGACTAGCTAACCTAGCTCACTTACATGAAGACCCATTCATCTTTGCACAAATGTTTGCATAGATTGATGTAACATTGGAGACCAGATCATGGCTGGCAACAGTTCCCACAAACGCAGTAGCCCCTTTTCCAGAGGCCACCTTTACAGAAACCATAACCAGCTCTGTCTGAGGTCATTATCAATGTAAATGCTTATCCATGGCCAATGTGCAGCAAGAACATTATGTGCAAATTTACCTATTTATATTAGTTCCATTTTAGACATATCCAGAATTAATTTTTCATGCCAAGGCAGATGTAACAAGCCCAACAACTTTAGTGAATTCTTGTTTAAAGGTGTCATTTATTTCCATTTCGTTCTCCTTTATGTACAAGAATCAGTAGTTTCATATGTATGGTTTTTATCTTGGTGTCAGAGTTGGTATGGGGGGGAACAAAGCAATAGGGTGCTGGACTTTTCTGTAGGTTTTATACCTTTCTGTGAGTAGCATCATAACGATCCTCTTGTCTGTGTCATTACAACAGGCGTATTTCTATAGTTTACATTAACTGAGCAATGTAATAAACTGG